GGGAAAGCCCTGTGAAGTCACCTCTGCTCCATCCACTCCTGTCACTCCTGGATCACTCAGTGCTAGCGTCACTTAAAATCTCATACAGCGTCCTTGTTTTGATGTGATTATTTGTCAGTTTTTGTAAGGAGGGCGGATGCCGCTATGGCTAGCATAGAGTGGGTTTTCGTATGCCTTAAAGGCTTAGTGAAACATGAGTGGTGTTAAGGAACAAGACTGTGCTACATGCTGTATTACATGTCTTCTTTACCTTTGAGTGGCTAAAAACACTAGCCAGAGCCCTGTCCTCCATACTCATACTCAAGATTTCACTAGACCATTGTGCTCATTTCCTCTCTGTGTAGTTCAAGACACATTAGGGAAAAACAGTCCTTCATGGAATGTACATAGTACAAAAATCAGAAAGGAGATATGAGTACAGTCTTGGAAGCAAAGGTTGTATAGGCTGGGGTAGCACACAGAGAGCATAATACATCAGTATTTGTCCACCATATTTATGCAGCTGAATCAGAGGTGTGTGTCCAAGGGAGGAGTTGTTCAGTTTTGGAAGATAGCTGAGAAACAGTCTAAGCTACTCATAAAAAAATGTGTCCAGTTAGCTGTCAGGCTACTCTTCCCAGGGAAATTCATTCAGGGGCTAAGGAAGGCAAGAAATAGGATGCTTCTGTGCAGAGTCTCTAGAACATGTCTGAGGAGATATTGCAAAGGATGGAGTGGGGAGCACTGACAGGGGGAGAGCAGCTTGGATGGGCCTACTTTTGCTATGCTCTCCGAGGGATTGCAATCTGAAGCTAATTTCTGATCAGTTATTCTGATGCTGAGGTGCATTAACAAAGTGCCTTTAATATACGAACAGCAGAGAAAGCTGGCAATCACCAATCTCTTCTTTCAGTCTCTGTGATACCAGCACCTCACACAGGCATGTACACACAGTAAACGTTAAAGCTTCCACAAGCTGGCTCGGGTGATTTGGCTGGTTGCATGCCAGAGGTCATCATACCTGGAGGATGCTGTGGCCCCAGTGTTTCTGGAACTTGTTTAAGAGGACTCGTCGGGCCATTAGGTTCTTCTGGGTGACTGGGAGTGGGACTGGGGGGCTCAGGCAACTGTTATGGAAAGGAAACAAAGTAAGGTCTACTCTGAGTCATTTCTTTCTCAACCTCTCTCAATGTCTTACTGCTTCTTGAGCATACTCTGTGTTGCAGTTTCTCCTCTTCTCCCTTACCTCTGCCTTCTCATTGTCATTCTCATCCTCATCAACATAAGCAAAAGATTCGTGCTTCAGCTTGGGCAGGGCTGACCATGGTCCCTTGCTGTGCCCATCGTAGGGTGCCTCAGCCAGCTTCTGCTGCATCTCTCTGTGGAGTTGCCGTCGCCGTTCTGGGCTAATATGTCTCTGGAGGAGAGCCTGAAGTTCGGATCGCTCCACAGACCCCAGGAGGATCATTGACTCTGGAGGGCACAGAGCAGAGAAGCCATTAAGCACCCTCTAGATCACGTCAGCCCTCAAGGTTTTGAAAATCCCCTTCTACACTCTGCCCCTTCCTCCCTCCGACCCTTTCAAAGTGTGCTTACTCATACTGTCTTGAGCTGTACAAGAGGCATTGACCAGCCCTGCTAACTGCTGGTAGTATGCTGTGGGACAGTGGAGAGTTGACCATTCCTGAGCTCCACCACCTTTCAGCACCACATCAAAAGCAGGCTCTTTACTTATACAAGATCCCTCCTTGTTGCCAAAGTTCAGTCCACAAACTTTTCACGTCTCTCCTACCTGCTGTATTTGGTTCACCCTCCATGCTTCAGCCTGCCTGTCTAACCATCTGAAACACCATTCTGTCATACATGACCATAGGGGAGATTTTTAGGATGATTTTTTTACCTAGTGGGTCACGCTGCCTCCTTCAAAGCATGTAATTTGAGAGCTAGTTTCTTTGGCTCTTTAAGTCGAGACAGTCTTCAGGAATGACTGGTTTCTCCACATAGCTTACCTGGTGAGTCCACCAAAGGCAAAGTCTTGACAGTGGTGCTTTGCAGTAGAGCTTGCAAGTCTCGGTATTTACAGTCGGAGGAGATGAATTTCACATCTTGGACCATAATATCCTCAACAAAGATATTATACTTGCTGTGAATGTATAGACAATAAGGAGAAGAGTTAGCATATTAAAAGTATCTAGTAGATAAATTTCCTAAAGAAATATATAAAATGACCATTTATTTAAAAAAATATTCTCTATAAGGTTGGTAAATGATTTTCTGTGAGAGTGTGCAAAGAAGACTGCTCAATGTGATCACAGAGTAACTGGATTTTCATTACAGTTACATTCCATTCCATTGACCCTCACCAAAAAAACGCTCACACATATATACATATAAAATATATGTATAGAGAGAGATGTATATGAAAGACTGAATTTTCTTTTAAGTCAACTATCCAAATAAAATTATATTTCAAGTTTTTTTGGAAAAAAAATCCAAAAAAAATAAATTCAGAAAACAATGGAAATGAAACATTTGATTTTTTTTTAACTGAAGCAGTCTGCTAATATTTATGTAAATTCAATAAAGTTGCAGATGATTCAGACCTGTCCTTTCAGTGAAAAAAAGAAAAAGATTTTTCTCCATTTCCATGTATGAAATCTAGTTCTACTCCACCTCTTTTTTTCTCACCCTAGTTCTAGTCTGCCTTTTCATTTTATTTTTAGTCCTAGCCCCTTTTTACGACCTTTCATTCTCCTATGGTATCACCCTCATCTGTTTTATTTCTCCACCACTCTCCACCTCTACCTCTGTTGCAGCGCACCTTATCTGATTCCAGCCCAGGTCTGGCAGGTAGGGCAATTTCTTCACCTGGATGATGCTGTCATAGAGGCTGGGCTGCAAGCTCTGGGCCACCATGTTGGCAAGAATGACAGCCACCATCATGGGGAGGATGTGAGAGATCTGACCTGTCAGCTCAAAGCAGATTACAGCAGTGGAGACAGTGTGGCTTACTGCTCCTGTCAGAGCTGCTGCGCCTTTCCCAAGTACGGTGGAAGAAGAATAAGGAGAGAAGAGGAAAGAGTTTCATATAAAAACAGAATGTCATGTCAACCAGGAGAGTCATGGGAATAGGAACAGATGAAGAAAGAGAAAGATGTGGATACTCACCAATGACAGCATACCCTCCAGGTAAGATTCTATAAACAATGACATCACAAAGAATCCCATTGGGAAAGAATGATGCCATGATTTCCCCTATAAGACGGCCAAATGCAGCACCTGGAAAGCATCACCAGGGATCATGGAATTAGCATCTAAGGAATACAGTGTCTGTGCTGCACATCTATGCTGGACAATCACTAGCATATTTTCTAGCACAAGCAAAATCAAAACTTATATTAAAGTGACACTGGGGGGCTAAAGAGTAGCGCTCAGTTACAATAGAAGCTGCACTCAAAAAGGAGAAAAAGATGTGTAAATATAGTTGTAAACCCCTTATTCCTCTACTTAGGTACACCAGGCACAGAAGTATTTGTGATCCCAGAGAGGAGGAGGTATCTTTTTAAAGACATTAGAATTTTTGGAATATTCTATGTAATGTCAATCCAGATCACAGTTAAGCCTCTTCATGCACTCAGTCTGTGAATGTCCAGATGTTAGAATCACTGACTCAAAGAATAGATTAGGAGGGAAGGGACCTCTGGAGGTCTCTGGACTGACCCCCTGAAATCAGGCCACTCCAGTCTTTGTCCAGGCAAGCTTTGAAAGTCTCCAAGGATGGAAATGCCCCAGCCTTTCTGGGCACCTTAACCAGAGAAAGAAAATTTTCCTTACATCCCATCAGAATTTCCCCTCTTGCAACTCGTGCTTGCTAGCTTTTGTCTATTTACTGTGCGTCTCTGAGAAAAGTGTCTTCTCTATTACTCCCACGTTAGGTGGTGAAAGACTGCAGTTAGATCCCCTCTTGGCCTTCTCTTCTGCATGGTGAACAAGCCAAGCTCCCTCAGCCTCTCCTTGTTTGTTTCGTGCTCTAACTCCCCAGTCATCTCAGTGGCACTTCACTACTCCTGCACCTCTTGCAATGGGGGGCTTGAAATGGCACACTAGTCTAGAATGATCTCCTAAGGGCTGAATAGAGGGGAATAAGCACTTCCATTGCCTTGTTGGCTATGCTTTGTCTAATACAGCCAACTTTGTGGTTAGCTTTCATGCAAGGGCATGCTGCTGACTTAAGTTCAGTTGCTGCCTAACAGAACCCACAGGTCCTTAACACACTTGGTTTCATCCAAGTTATAGATACTTAACACTGAATTTCATGAGCTTGTATTCTCATACTTTAATCTAAAATAGCCTTTCTTTCTTAACAGCACCCTCAGTATCATTTTTTTTGGCCTTAGAATTAAAAATAATTAAAAATCAATAAACTCCCATATGTCAACATATTACAGCCAGAAGTAATGAATAAATGGTGGATTACATTGCTGGTACTAGTTTTGAGGCTGTCTCCTTCTAGCTGGCCTTCGGGGGGAAAGGAGCAACTATTACTAATTACTATTACTAATGAAGAGGCAGGGAGAAGGCCATGACTCAGCATGCTTCCTGCAGCTTAGATTTCACTATGTAAAAGGACAGGGATTTCCTCCTCAGCATTTGGACCTGGGAGGCCAGGAAAAGGACAGAAGCGGAGTCTCAGAGACTGATATCTGGACTGTTAACAGAAATTGGCATAAACACCAAGGGGTAACCAGACTCCTCATCCTCTTGAAGAATCCTATGGGGTACATAGGCAGTGCTTCTCTCACCCACTTCATCTGTTAGACATACATCCTGCAACATAAATTCAAACTCACCCAGAACAAAAACAGGCATGAAACCTCCACAGGGGATTGGCATGGTGGTGGCAATGACAGACATCCAGAACTAGAACAGAGGTAGAGGGAATGATTGTTAGTGAGCAGCAATAGCATTTGCTGCAGTTCCACTCTACTGCCCCACTTATGAATCTATGAAGAGATACATTCTGAGGGATCTGGCAGCTCAGGAAGAAAGTGAAGGGCAAAGGGACTGTGGGGAGTGAAGGGGAGCTGGAAAAACTCCAGCAACACACCAGCACTGTGGCAGAGGACTTCTGGGTGACTACTGTGATGGTAGCAAATCTGAGTAACAAGAGGGATAAATCAACGTGGAGAATTCCTTTGTCTTGGACTTTGGAAGGTGGGATTTCCCACTGCTTCCAACAGCTTTGCTTTTTATAGAACAGCATTGTCAAAATTTCATAGATGCACAGAAAGATTTAGGTGGGAAGGGACCTCTGGAGGTCTCTCTTCCAACTCCCTGCTCCCAGCAGGGCTAACTCCAAAGTTAGATCAAGTTGCTCAGGGCCTTGTTCAGGTGACTTCTGAACATCTCCAAGGGAGGAGATTCCCCAGCCTCTCTGGCACTTGAGCCAGAGCTGAACCACCTTCAGAGGATAATTTTTTCCTGGTGTTCAACTGTAGTAAGTTTCCCTTATAACAGCTTGTGTCCACTGCTTCTTGTCCTCTTACTATGTTGGGCACAAATGGTAAAAATCTGGCCTGGTAGTGCTGAGGCCCCACTGAATGCTGCCTTAGCCCAGCACAGGTAGTCTTCTTCCAGAGGCAGCAGCCTAACCTCACATACTTAGCAAAGGCCAATAAGCTCAGCCCTTGAAAAATACTTTCAGGTTTCCCTTACGGAACTAGAAAACTGTATTCTCTTCAGCTGAGGCAATGCCTTCCTGCTGTTCAAGGTCCACTTTTGAGGAGGTGATGCCTCTGCAGACACCTCTGTAGCTGTAGACAGATGAGATGCTAATCTCATTAGACAGTCAGTTTGGTGAGAGGAACTACAGCCAAGAGAGTTTTTTTTCAGTGTAATTCTAGTAGGATGGTTGGCATAAAAGGGAAAAAGAAGCCAGGAGATGGCTTGCCATTTAGGAAAGTCCTCTACAAAGGTAACAAAGAGCAAGCAGAACAGCATCTCTCTCAGCCCCTGATCAAGGAACATGATGGGATAAGGGGCTGGACCATTTACTTGATATTGGCTTTTGCTCTTCCTCACAGAAGCCGTCTGAGTTTTCTGGTGGAGAAGTTCCTGGCTGGCTACAAAGTCCAGGAACCTGTAAAAGGGGAGTACTGCTAGCTCAGCTCCCTCTTCTCCTGTGCTAAACCTAGGCCGGATGGAGCTGAGAATTGGGACTATAGGGCAGTGGAGAACCATGCCAAGCCTTTGCCTAGAGTCAAAGCAGCCGGTTCTTTTTTTTTTTTCTATACTCTATCCCAGCTCAAATATATTCAGAAAAAAATAAAATGCTTGGAGCAGTTATCTAGTCATTTGACAAAGCATTAGTAATTTTCTAGTGACAGCAATAACATATGTGAGAAGGCCATCGAACCTAGGTTTTTCAGAATATAGCTCTTCTAATGTAGAACAGATGCACTCAAGGTAGATAGACCCTGTAGTCCATCCTCCTTTCGTTCAAACGAAGACAACTATATCTACCTGATACACTATAATCAGAGTTATCATAGAAGCAGAGCCCTTAACTGCCTGTCAGAAATCTGATGCAGTATTTTACTTTAGGTGGAATCGGCTGCATCAATCAAACATTAATATCCATTTCTGATCTACCAAAATGTTTCACTGATACTGCCAGGCTGCCTCTACTCTTTCACTCCTTTGTAGCAAAATAAAATCACCATTACTATGATATTCTTGCCTTTTTCGCTTTATTTTTTTACTCTTAGGAAAACCTTTCTTGCTACTTGTATTTTGAACACTAGAATATAATGTTTTCTTCTTTTAAATCTCTTCTCTTGTTCTGTCATGAATCTGTTACACAGTTGATCCTTTCAGAGCCTGAGCAATTGCATTTTCCTAAGACTACGTCAGCTCAGAACATTTAATTTGCTGTTGCTTTCCCATAAATGAGCAAAACTAGTCTCAGCTGAATTTCTCCATCAACTTTCAGTGCTATTAGCAAATCCGGGAGCCTAATGAACATATAAAATGCACTTGCATGGTTTTATTAGTCTCCTGTCTGTAGTCAGGAACATGAAGCACACAGTATCAGACTTAGACCAAATATAAATTACCAGAGAACTTTTTACTTGGTAACTTATTTTCCTGGACCTCGAGAAATCTTTCCTGACCTCTTAGTCTTCACTACCA